AAATATGTGGAAAATAATGTGTTTTTTGAACAACCTAGTATGAGAGCCTGTTCTAGTACACCCCCAAAACAAAATTTTACAAGACTTTGTAGAAGAGCATAATAGGACCCCTTTAACTCTTTGGATCATTAAGGAACCAAAAATGGTTCATCAATGGCATCACTGTGAAAACTCCTTTTTGGAATGTTTATTTTTAAGAGTGAATGGTGCTTGAACTACTTTGAATTATGAGTTGCTTGGCAAGCTAGAGTTGCAAAAGAGCTTTCCCAACCACTGGCCTCAACACACACACACACACACACACACACAGCGGCCCTGAGATCCACACGGCAGAGACAGACAGTCGATATCTCTCCACTGTGCTTCAATATTCCAGCATCGCCTCTCCGAACGCCCGCTGAGCAAACACCAGCTACAAGCAGCGTCACGCAGCACAAACCATCCAAATAACAGAGAGCAATCAAGACAACGTGAACCCATACGCATGCAATGAACCATGTTTTTTCTAAAAATTCAGACGTATTCAATTTGGGCAGAATTAAAATCACAAAGTATGCCTGTGAAACACAACACGCCCTCCCTTGAGGAAAACTAGTCCTGTCCGAACAGAGCCAGAAGCGAAAGAACAAAACAAGAGAAGCATTCATTAAACAGCCTGATCTTTCAATCAAACGATCTACAACTCGCACAGGATCAAGGCGTTCTGATCATTAATCAAGTCAATGAATTAGCTTTCATCGCATCATGCCGGAGCCGTTCATGGCCACTGTTGCTGTGTCACCTGCTACAAAACCGCCTGACAGTCACATTCATCCAGCAGCTTCATCACAGACCCTGACGGGCCTTTGATTCCTTCCACATGCAATATTTATTGGATCACATGTCAAAAAGGAAAGTGAACTCTCGGCATCAATTAAATGCCACTATTTAGACCTGTAATGACATCCTGACAGATTCCTTCATTTACGGCGGCCCTACAGATGTTTGGTGAATTGTGCAGACACTATTTGATCAGTTTCCCCCTCAGGTACACTTATTCCAAAAGCATAATTAAAACAATCATAATTTAGTTTTTAACGACTAATTTCCACCATCTGTCCAACCTTTACATATAAGTGGTCCATTTTTGCTGCTGCAGTTCATATGCGAAGTCTCTTCTGCTCACCGAGGCTGCATTTATTTGATCAAAAATACAGTAAAAACAGAAAAACTGTGAAATACTATTTCAATTTCAAATAGCTATTTTCTATGTGAATATATTATGTAAAGTGTAATTTATTCCTGTGAGTCAAAGCTGAATTCTCAGCATCATTACTCTAGTCTTCAGTGTCACATGATCCTTCACAAATTATTCTAATATTTTTTTTTTATTTGAAATATAAATCATTAGTAACAAATCAATTTTGATATACACTCTTAAAAATAAAGGTGCTTAAAAGGTTCTTCACAGCGATGCCATAGAAGAACCATTCAGTCAAAGGTTCTTTAAAGAACCATCTCTTTCTTACCTTTTTATAATCTGAAGAACCTTCTTTCGTCACAAAGAAGCTTTTGTTAAACTGAAAGGTTCTTCAGATGTTAAAGGTTCTTTATGGAACCATTTAGACAAAAAGGTTCTTCTATGGCATCGTGAAGCACCTTTATTTGTAAGAGTGTATTTAATGTTGCCAAGGTGTTCTAAGTGAATTAAGTAAAATTCAATAAAATTACACTCAAAGTAACTAAATGAATCTCATTCAGTAAATGACTGTCATCTGTGCATGACTAATATATGTTGTTTTTATCATCAGCCACCTGTAATCATAAGTATAAGCCTTAATAATACCACTAGTCAGCATAACTAATAATTTATTTATTTTTTTGCTCCCATGTTAATAACACCTGTGAAAACAGAAGAAAGCCACATTCTATATGAGAAATATTTGTGTGTGTGGATCTGTACTGAATTATTCATTTCCTGTTTTCCACTCTATTTTCTAGTTTGCTTCACAATAATGAAAAAGAAAGGTCCCTAACGTACAGCTTCAGAACAGGTCCTGAATATGAAGGGAGCCAAAGAAAAAAGACAATCATTAAAGGGAATATGAGATATGAGCATATGAAACACGAAGGTACAGTAACATCCCAGTGACTTTCAGTATATCAGCGTGATTTCCACGAGTTGGCTAAATGCAGATGCAATCTTCCCGCGTGTCTATTTACTCATGGGATTGAACTGAAGGACACGGCGTTCAATTTCATACTCGGCTTCACAGGGACACATAAAGATCAAGGATCTTGTAAGAGGCTGGAAACCTGTACGCGGCAACAAACGCACAAACTTATCGGATTAGCTGTTTCAGAAAGTAGGGCGTCTCTTTCCCAAGCTTGAAGGAATCTGTCGCAAAATGACTAATTCAAAGCATCGGACCATCTGATTTTTAATTCAACATCCTGTGCCAATTCATTCTGAATTTGATCCAACCTCATTGTCTTTATAGGCAGCAACTTTCAAAGACAGCATTCCAACAGAAACGCTCTACATAGTCAGCAACTGAGTCAGCACACACATAGTGTACACTAGCTTTTACCACAGAGCCATGAAGGACTGCAAACACTGAATCTGTAATCTGAATTTCATCTCAGTATGAATAAAGCTGCCCAAAGCTGTCCATAGTCATTTTTGGACATTCGGTGGAACAAACGCATTCAGTCCTGTGAGACGAGACAGAAATGCTTTTGGTTTCCAAGAAAATGACCTAATGCTAGCTGAAAACTCAGAGAGGTGATGTAAAATCATAACCTCACTCACCAAACATATTCCCCAAGTGTCCGTTCCTGGTCAGAGGTCGAAGTTCATTATTTCCCCAAGCGTAACGTTTATAGTTGTCCCAGGCAAACTTCATCATCTGCAAACACAAAACAAACAGGTTCAGATCTGTGAAATCACCTCTGATAACACGTTTAATGTGCAGATACTTGCATTAAACATGATATTAGGATGCGATTACATCCAAAGCCATCAAGTGCAGATGTTCGCCGATCAAAAACGAAGATGAATCAGAAAAATATGGGCTTTTCCGCATTAGACGAAGCGAAGCATGGATAAAGCATGGAAGAAATATGAGGATGTTATGAATGACACAACAAAGAATTGAATCATGTTTCATAAGCTCTATTTATTTCTGCTGGAAGCAACACGCTGTCATAATTAGCTGTGCGGTAAGGCGGGCAGGCCTGCAGGATCACATTCATCAAATAATTGCAGAAATTCATGAACATCAAAGAAATGGACTGTTACCTACACGCATTAATCAAGAAAATAAATTAATAAACATAATCATTGTTTTCTCATCACCATTAACCATTGCATATTTACATGAGTTGCTTTGTTCTGTTGTCTTGTGTTAAACAGCATTCTTCTCAAAACTTGACATTTTAAAGACAGGTTTGTGATAAGCTAAATAATTACATTGTTAATTTAGAACCATATAAAAGAAATTTTAACTGTTTTAATAATTTATTGTTTGCATATTACAATTTATTGTTATGCAAATACATTATAAAAAAAATAAATTTAAATATACATTTAAATATGCATATTTTTTTATTTTTCTTAAAAAAAAAACACATTCAGTAAGGATGCATTGATCAAAAGTGACAGCAAAAACATTTATAATGTTACAAAAGTTTTCTATTTTAAATAAATGCTGTTCTTTTGAACGTTCTATTCATCAAAGAATCCTGGAAAAAAAAAGGAAAATCCTTAAAAAATCCAGAAAAAAAATCTACAAAAATATTGGGCAGCACAACTGTTTTCAATATTGACAATAATCAGAAATGTTTCTTGAGCAGCAAATCAGCATATTAGATTGATTTCTGAAGATCATGTGACACTGAAGACTGGAGTAATGATGCTGAAAATACAGCTGCGCATCACAGGAATAAATTTCATTTTACAATATATTCACATAGAAAACTGTTATATTAAATTGTAATAATATTTCACTTTTTTCCTGTTTTACTGTATCTTACTTTGATCAAATAAATGCAGCCTTGGTGAGCAGAAGATACTATATGTTTTTTGTTTTAATCTAATATAGTTTAACTTCACATTTTCTGTTTTCAAATATCTTGGAGCAAATATTGTAAAAAAAAAAAAAAAAAAAGTTTATAAAATTGCATGTCTGCAGTCACTGCATTAACTACACAGCTCTCTTAAATACTTGATTCTGATTATAAAGACAAATATTTTCACTCATGCACTGATTAAATGTTCATAATAACACTAGAAAAATAAAGTGTTCATTAATTTTACATTTTGGCTTCTAAGATCTCAACTTAAAGTAAGTTCTAAACCTATTATTTCCGGAATGGGTCGATTATGGAACATTACAAAGAACCCGGGCTGTACTGCTGCTCCGTCCAAAGCTCTGAGCTCGGCGGCGCTGGATTTGTGAATCTCCCGGGTTTGAGCTCTGAATGAGTGTTTCAGCACAGCCAGGACCAGAGAAGCTCTGGATGATGCCTGGCACCAACAACCTCCACAAGGCACGCTCTGAAAAAGACCCGCTTCCCTTGAGGAGGAAGCCAATAATTGATGTGGGATCGCCTCCAACAACGCAATAAAAAGGCTTGTGACACGATAGGGAATTAGCAGGAAGAAATTCCAACCGCGATACTTATTTGAGCTCGACATGAAGGAGCAGCTGGGCAGGGATGTGGCCGATTCTTGCGTTGCATAAAGCTTTTGTGATCATCTGTTACTGACTGCAACACCAACGCTTCGGTTTCCACTCGGTTTTAAGTTGTGCATCGTTTTGTTCCTCCTGAGGCAGTTCAGGGCCAGAGAAAAGGGGAATATGTAGCAGGTTGTCTAGCTGTTAGTCCACTTTATCTACACTGATAGCAGCGGCACTAACCGGCGGAACGGAGCCGAGCTGGAAGACAGTTTTATCACAGATCTCATAAACACTGACAAAGCAAAAATCAAGCATACATGTCTTTTCTTTTATGTTGCCAGACTGATGGACACATACATAACACTCCACACTACTGACTCTGACAGCCTACAACAGTCATACGAGCAGCCAAATATGAAAAAAGCGGCAGCAGAGAGGCTTTATACACACAAATCTGTCATAAGACAAACGCTGTTTGAACACTAGTCTATATAGTGACACAGTAACAGTGTATTATATTTCAATCGCAGTAGACAACATAGCCAATAATGATGCTTATGTTCAATAATATAAGGAAAAATAACAATACATTGTCCTATAAAACCACTTTTCAAAACAAAATTAAATGTCTTTAAAAATTAAGCAATTATTGATTGCAATTAATTCATCAATAGGCAGAGCATGTTTTATGAGTTTAATTACAAACATAATAGTATACATAATTGTATACATAACATTGGATATATAAATAAAATATAAATGATAAAACTAACACTTTCAATTGTGTGTATATATTTATACTATATTGTATGTGTGTGTATATTTATTTATATGCATATGCATAACTATTTATGACAATTATTTTATTTTATTTATATTTAAAGACATTCATCAAGCATATAACAATATCTATCGATCTATCCATCCATCCATCCAATTATGAAATGTCTTAAAATATTAAGTAAATAAATATATAATGATATAATAGTAATTAACATAACAGTAATAATATAAATAGTAATTAATTTACAAGTAATAACAAATTTTATAGATAGATAGACAGACAGACAGATAGATATAGATAGATATATAGAACAGTGATAGTGACATAACTTCCTTTTTTCCTTATTATTCATAAAACCATGGATAGTGGAGCAGAAGCAGTAAAGAGAGCTGGTGAATCAGTGAATGAGGTCAGGTCAGCATGATGAACATCTATAAAGAACCGACCCTCTTCATGACACACATTTAGAAATGACTCAGCTGCTAGAGATTGACAAACAGAGCCATCCCATCTCCTCCACATCATGACCCATCATCTCTCTCTATCCTAACTGTAAATGAGATGGCAAAGACCCAAAAACAAATATGCCCGATACCAGAGAAATGGTCTGCTTTAGTGAGCATGGACATTAGCGCTCAACTTTCATGATTAGATAACTGAATTAACTTTGTAACTAGCAGAGTGTGACGATAGAAATGCCAAAGTCGTGAGTTTGACTCCCAGTACGGATCATTTTGCTGGCAATATACATTTAAGCAATATAGTGAACACAGCATCAGAACTATACACACACACACA